TTGAGAGGGCTTGAGTGGACCCCAGCCCCTTGTGAGGGGGTCGGGCCGGGCCCCCTCCTGGCCTTGAGGGGCTCAGGGTGGACCCCGACCCCCTGTGAGGGTCTCCCCGGCTGAACATGCCCCTCTAAAACCGCCCACTCCTCTCCCAGCAATCCCTGTAGCCCCCCCCTCCACCTCTGCTCCCCTTTGGGGTGTCCAGCAGGTTTACCCTGTGCCGGTGGCCCGGGAGGAGCCCCCTGCCCACCCCCTCTTTTCCAGCGTTATCTCAAGGGGTTTCAGGGCTTGGAAGTGCTGGGACGAGTGTGGCTGTGGGGAAGGTGTCCTGTTTTCAGCGGAAAACCTGGGGTTTAGGGGTTCACGGATCAGGAAACCATTTGTTTCCCCTCCCACAGGGCCCTGCCTGCTTTACAGAATATTTTTCATCGCTTGGATGCTTCATTCTGAGCCACTAATCCAAGCAGTACCTGAGCTAATCCTTCGTTCCAGGCTGGTGCCACAGCCTGGGTGTCAGTGCTGCTGCCCAAGGAGCAGGTCGGGAGAGCCACCAGGTATTCCTGGGGATTCCTTTCCCTCTGGGCTGCTTCCAGCCCCGCTCAGGGACACCGGCTGCACTCAGGAGCTCCAGGGTCTGGCGGGGGCTGGTTTGGGTTAAAAACAGGAAAGAGAGGGAAAAACCTGAGGTTGGGGGGTTTCTGGGTGGAAGCCAGAGGTGTGGATTTCTTTCCTGGTGGTTAAAAGCTGGGAGCTGATCGGTTGGTTGGGCTCAGCTGGATCCCACAGCAGGACTGGGCGTTTCCCTGTCACAGGGGGGCTGTTCCAGATAAAACCTTTAAAAACTTGGCTGGTTTGGGGTGGCCCCAACATCTCATTTACGTGAATTGTTAATTTAGCAGCGCTTCCAAGTTACTTTTATACAATTGCACTTTTCCCTGGTGGTTCCCGCGGCTCGTAAAGGCAAAACCTCCCTGTTTTCTCCCCCTGCCCCAGGTGCTGGTCCCGGGAGCAGCTTTCCCTGTGTCCGTGCCCATGTCCCCGCCCTGAGCCCTCGCCAGGATGAGGATCGTGGTGGCCAAGGTGCTGTGCCTGCTGGGCATCTGTGTGCTGGTGCTGGCGGGGGCCCTGCTGCCCGTGAGGGTCATCGAGGCCGACCACGAGAAGGCCCAGCGCTCCAGGAAGGTGCTGGCCCTCTGGAACTCCTTCGGAGGAGGGGTCTTCCTGGCCACCTGCTTCAACGCCCTGCTGCCAGCTGTGAGGAGCAAGGTGAGTGCTGGCCATGCCTGTGCCGGGGACACCTGAGCCTGCGGGGGCCCTGCTCCCTGCGGGAATGGGGGTGATGAGGGGTCAGTGTCCAGCTGGATGTGGAGCCCCCTCAAATGTCTGTGCCTGGTGCCTCATATCGTGAGGGTGAGCTGTGCCCACCTCCCTGCCCTGCTGCTGGCTGTCTCCATGGGGGCACGGGGCATTTGGGGGATTTTTTGGGGCGTGAGGATCCCAACTCCGTGTGTTTGGAACGTGGGAAGGCAAAAGGATTCCCTGTCTCACGGCGGGGTGTCCAGGGGTGTGGGAGTGCCATGGATGGGTCCAGTGCCTGTGTGGGGCCGTGTGAGCACAGAGGGAATGTTTCCCTTTGGAGGGATGGATTCACTGTGCATCCTTTGCCTCCTCCCAGCTGGATGAAGTCCTCAAGCAGGGGAACGTGACCACGGACTACCCGGTGGCCGAGACCATCGTGATGGTCGGCTTCTTCGTCACGGTCTTCGTGGAGCAGCTCGTCCTGAGCTGCCAGAAGGAGAAGCCCTCCTTCATCGACCTGGAGACCTTCAACGCGGGCTCGGACGGCGGCAGCGACTCGGAGTACGAGAGTCCCTTCATCGCCTCGCCCCGGGGCCGGGCCCTGTACGGGGAGCACGGGGGGCACCCCCCTCACCTGAGCCTGCCCGAGCTGTCCCGCTCCGGCCCCCTGCGCCTGCTGGGGCTGGTCTTCGCCCTGTGCACGCACTCCATCTTCGAGGGGCTGGCCCTGGGGCTGCAGGAGGACGGCGGCAAAGTCATCAGCCTGTTCCTGGGCGTGGCCATCCACGAGACCCTGGTGGCCGTGGCGCTGGGCATCAGCATGGCCAGGGCCGCGCTGCCGCTCAGGGACGCGGCCAAGCTGGCCCTGGCCGTGTGCCTCATGATCCCGCTGGGAATCGGCGTCGGGATGGGCATCCAGAGCACCCGCAGCGCCGCCAGCGACGTCGTGTCCCTGCTCCTGCAGGGCATGGCCGGCGGCACCTTCCTCTTCGTCACCTTCTTCGAGATCCTGGCCAGGGAGCTGGAGGACAAGAGCCAGCGGCTGCTCAAGGTGCTGTGCCTGGTGCTGGGCTATGCCCTGCTGGCCGGGCTGGTGCTCATCCCGTGGTGAGCCGGGAGCCTCGGGAAGCCAAGCTCGGCGGGATGAGCCGCCCCTCCCGCTGCAGGGACGCCGGAGCTCCGTGGGCAGGTGGAACAGCCTGGCCCGGGGGTGTTTCCATGATTACCTGCAGGAGGAGGATCTCTTCCCGGGTGCCCAGAGGGAGATGAGTGAGGAGCATCCCAAGGGACCGTCCCTGCCCCTGGGGCTGCGGAGATCAGCTGGCACAAACATTAAGGATCTGGTTAAAGGCTGCTTCCGAGAGCTCCTCGAGTGTGTGTGGCTTCCTGTAACCTCCACAGTCCCCCTCTCCCTCCTGCCCCTCGCCCGCACTCCGGAACGAGCCGGGAGCCTGGTCCGTGGGCTCCGAGGAGGTGAGGAACAGGACTGGAGCAGGTGGGAGCAGGGATTGCTGGGCTGCACTAAGCTGCTTTGGCTGGCTTAGTTTGGAGCAAAACCTGGTTGTAAGAGCTGCCAAAAATAACATCCCCGTGGGGCTCCAGCATTCCCGGGATGCTGCTCCCTCCGGCACAGCTTCCAGTGCAACCACCCGGGGCTGGGGGAGCTCAGCTTTCCCAGGCATTGAGGGAGGAAATGAGGCCGGGCCCCTCTCCCCTCCTTCCTTCCCTGCATCTCATCCATATGCTGAGCATTCCCTTAGGAAAACCTCCAGCAGTGTGTTAACTTAGTGTTTGGGAATCATAGGATGAATCCCAGGATGGTTTGGGTTGGAAGGGAACTTAAAGCTCATCCAGTCCCACCCCCTGCCAGGGGCAGGGACACCTCCCACCAGACCAGGTTGCTCCAAGTCTTGGACACTTCCAGAGATGGAGCAAATCCTTCCATTAGCCCTGTCCATTCCCTGGCACTCCCAGGGCCCGGGATCCAGGAGCTTGCAGGAAACAGGCAGCAACACTTTCCAGCATTAATATTTTAGGGAAAGCACTTGTGTTTTCAGAGCTCTGCAGTGAGAGGGGTTGAGCGGTCGGAGCAGAGGCTGCTCCCAGGCTTTTCCAGGTTTCCAGAGGAATGGAATCTCTTCCCTGGAGGGGTGTGAGGTGGTGGAAGGGCTGCTGAGAGAGACACAAGCAGATCTCAGAGCGGGGCCCCAGGGAAGCTCCGTGCGCTGCTGATCCCTTTGGATGCTCTCTCCTGGGTGCGGAGCCGGGATGAGAGGCTGGAGCTGGGAACGAGCTTCCCCCCCAGCTGTGTGACACAGCCGGGCTCAGGCAGGGGCTGCATTTTAATTACCCGGAGCCGCGGCTCCTGCAGCAGCTTCCGGCGGGCTCCTGGAAGCGCTGCTGGAATGACAAGGATGGCGCAGTGCCGGCAGCGGGAAGGGGCCGCGGAGCCGCCGCGGTGGCCCAGCTGCAGCATATGGAGGCAGCTGAGCATCATCTGACAGATCCTGGGGCTCGTTAGTTTAATTGCTGCAACATCCCCGAGTCAATTAATCTTCCTTTGAAAACCTGGAGTGGAGGGGGGGGCGGAGGGAGGTTATTTTGGGCC